ATGAAGAATCTTGGAGTTCTGACGGGAGATGATACGCCTGCATCGGAGTCCGAACCTTTTCTATTGCTTTCAAGTGTTCGAGGCGGGTGCATCCTGTATATCGGAGCACGTAGATGCGATGCTGAATTTGTGCCCCCATGTCGTGGTTTTGGTGTTCTCATATTGACCATGGCAGTGCCGAAGCGTTTGCCAGGGGGACAGGCATTTATTTCAAGACCACTCGCGTAGATGAAGGATGGACAATTTTGCGTACCACGCAAGGACGGTAAACAGAGAGTTCCAAGATCCCTAGTTTCCATAACCTTCAACATTGGTAACTGATTGATCCTAGCTTTGACCATGTCTCAGTCGTTAGTCTTTTACATTTTCCACTGCCTCCTGAAATACAAAGTCTTCTATTGATCAATAATTCTGGAGAACAAGTTGAACGACAAGGTCAGAAGTACCTCCTATTCAGTCCATGGTAGCATTATGTCCAGGTATAGATTTAACCCCCGAGTGCTGTATCAAACACTTCTAAATGGGCCCCTCTTGCTCCTAGATGAGGTATGAGTTTTTGACAGGTAAAGAAACAATCCGGGGTCACACCTAAATTCGGCTCAATGGCCTCGTATTAAATACAGTGAGCTTCGACGTTGGATAAGTAGATAAATTCTGAAATATTAAAAGTTTTCGATTTGTACACCAGCTGCTTACCGCAAATACTAAATAGAAAATACGACACAATCTTGGAGATTTTTCGCATTTGCCACTGGTTTTGAGGCAATCAGGCCGGCAGGGAACAAGTTTTCCCTGATTTTTAAGAGACCCAATTAACTAATACGTTCTCGCGATGAACTTCTCAATATCTCCACTGCATAATGTTTCGAGAGGCAACCGAAGAAATTTCGCCCAGCCCAGCGCAGAAAAGTATGAAGCCCACTGGAAGCCATGAGATAGACTAGAATGATTGCTAGTAATATACTGAAGCGATAGCTCTGTAGTTCTTTCATATATAGCCGCCATGGGGACTTTTTCAATAAGTATACTGGTCTCTTGCTGCTGGCAAAATTCGTTCGGGGGCTGGTGCCCGCTCCTCTGGCTGTCTTTGGCGCAGTCGTTCGTCGAAGTATTCTTGAGGGTGCTGCCAGCATTGACGGGGAACCGGGGGCTATCGGATTGGCTTCTTTTCTCGTACTCACGGCGCTGGGTCCTGCATTCGACGTTTTTTTGATTGCCGCTTCGACTGCTTCGCAGACCTTAACCGACATCTTCGCGAGTACCTCTTCCACCCCCTCTGTTCACCTCACCAGAGAAGTCCTCGATGGCACTTTCTGCGAGGACCATGATAGCGTCATAGTCAGGTTTAATGTTGCTGTTTGCTGTATGACGACGACTCACGCCCATATTCCTATATAAAATCCTTGATCCCTGAAGCAGACAATCACTGAAACGGAATAGCTCTCCCTTTTAATATTTCAGAAGAATGGAGGCCAAAACTAGAGCATCTGTACTACTTAGGCTAACATCCCTTGCCAATTCTGGTGAAAACGTTTGCTTGAGGAATTTGCCATTCTGTGTAGACAGTAAATAACTTCGGTCCTTCTAAAAAGACTGCCTCTCCACTATGGAAATGGATAACCATGCGTCCCTAATTTAGTCTCATTATGGCCGCTTGGGATCCTGAGATGGACAAGGCAAAAACAATTTTGTGCCGTGACGCCGCGCGTTCAGAGCAGGATCTTAGGTGGAGCAGCAGATAGCGACTATGGAGGCGACGTTCTCTATTCTCATGTTTAACGCGTACGATAAGTGTACTTGAAATGGCGTTCTGTACACCAAATGTCTCCCTCCCCATCCCCGGTCTATTCCGACCCCTCTTTTTATTATTGGCCTTAAGACAGAGCACTGAGCTAGAAAACATTTTTGCTCTCTTTCGAAATATCGTGATCATCTCGTCAACATCAGGACAAGAATTTGCGTATGCACATCCTACCTACACCCAAATCAACTCGTTATCCACAGGAGGGCAAATCTGAATTCATATTGTCTGTGCTTACATTAATGCGTGCTTTAGACTTTGACGTGCTCTTCACTTCAAATAGCGGCTTAAATGGGATTCGATGAACAGCTCATGCTATACGTTCTCGGCTACATTATTTGACCCATGGGATCTCGGATCAAAAAATCGATAACATCTCATAACAAAAATCGTGCGTCAATTCACCGGATAGTGTGGCTTATGAAGGACTTTTACTTAAGGCCGAACTGAATATGGCTGGCCAGAGTGTAATCGGTGAATACAGTACAATTAAATGCATATAATTGAGAAGCGCTGCAGAAAATGTAGTAGATTGTGCGAACAGTATGTTGACCCACTCAAGAATGAATAGTACCAAGACGATTCACTGGTATCAACACCATGAGTAGAACTAGACTATTTAATCCTGGTTGGGCTGCAGTCACTCCCCGCTCGCAAATTGCCCTCTTCTTCGCCTAAGTTGAAGTGGGTTGAACGTTATATTTTCTTCCATCCCAATTAGCTTGTCGATCGGATTCGTGACCTCCTCTCGCCAACAAACAAACGACTTAATTCCGACAATCTGTCAATCAAAAGCCAAAAATCTGAAGACATGATTTTTGGAGGCGGCCCAGAAGAATATTATTCAAAAATGATGCGACATCACCTTCCAGCGGTCTTCGCAAAGCTATAGACAAAAGCAAACATCGACAACGAGGCATAAGCTCTGCCAAATACGATACATCATGCCTTTTCTCAATGGATGGATATACATTACCACAGTGTCGCAATTCTAGCTTTCGCGGCCCCGTGACATGCGATTTCAATATGATTTTGCAATCGGAAGACGTGCCCCGTCCGCTACAGCAGACCCTATTTTGAGGCAGCCGCCAATCATCCATTGAATGGAGGTTTCAGATCAGAAGAAACAAAGCCATCGAGAGAGTTATATGCGTGGCCTTGAGTGAAGCATTTTCGCTGCTGGAGTGTAAGTCCAAACGACAAGGGCTAGCGCATGGATGATATAAGAGGCAAGGCGGGGATCAAACATGTTAAAGGAATTTGTAGATACAAAAATTTGTTCTTCTAAGGATTTTGCACGGTACAACATATATGTTCCGTTTACGGTTGATAAGGCGATCGAAATCATGTTATTCATATTAGGCAGTACGGATTCTTAGGGACCCAAAGAAGGTACTGCCCTGATCCTGTAGTACCAAAAGCCCCTCTCGGGGGTCTTCAATGGCTGTAATCCCTATACCGTCCAGCCCCGTAGGCGGGAGAAGACACGAAACAACCAGTCCTTTTGAGGTTGGTCGGAGCGTGCACGAATTGGTCATGATCAGAAAGGTATTGGTTCTAGGTGGAGATGACTCTAATTGGGATAGATTGTATAGCAGTGTTAAGTCTGAGATACACCCAAAGGCTATAAGTAGCTCAATCGGTAGAGCGAATCACTTCTTATGGTTTGAGTAAATGTTCATGTCATTTCAGTGGTCTTATATGCCCACAGACAAGGCGGCGCTCATAAGTCTGTATGTTGATCCTCAACAATTGCATCGAATAACAAGCAATAAGAATTTCAACACTCTCGTATTGCCTATCCATTATTTCGGGTATTCTTCGACTTCTCCTCTACTCCTTTACATTGTACCGCATGTTATACATGCTGCCCGTTTCCCACACACTAAGTGAACGAGCTTTGACAGCGTAAAATTCCTGACTAGAGTCTCCAGGCCCACCTAGCCATGGCATTTTGACCCATCACTGTTCGACATTTCTGTACTGTATAATGAATACTGCTCCCCTTTCTCGGATATAGTCTCTCTTCCATAATCCTTGGTCTATGGTCAGATCGCATGACCTTATCCTACCCGATGTGCACGATCGCTTCTCGCACACACCTGAATCTATGCACAGCGTGTAGATTCGATGTGATCCGAGTGCCGTATATGGTTACAGTCAAAGTTTTAGATTAAAGGGTGCAAGGCATAAATGTTTGACTGGTTTCTCATATATAGTAGGTTTTATTATTGGCAAAAAGGCGATTTTGCATATTATTTCAATCAAACCCTAGGAATTTTATATAATAATAATATTTTGTAATAAAGCATTATTTGGCGCTAGAGCTTTGCTGACGATTTTGGCAGGAATTATATTTATGCCATACCCTACGGTATCATTAGCCGGGACTATTATAGAGCATAGCACTGAGCACTCAACTATAGCAGATTTACCCGATGTTATTGTCGCACTATATTTAGATTGATCGGCATCATACATAGATTATTGAAGTGTCCGAGACCATGACCTAAAGCAAAGATTCTCAATCAAGTTCGCCTATTGTGACCAAATTATCATTTCCTATGCCATAGTTTAGCAGACAGCACCAGCAGAATTTACCTCCACAGAGCTCACTTCCGTAGAGATACCGTCAAGGATATCGATGGAAGAAGACCTCGTAGGGTTAATTCCTGGGTCCTACCGACACCAATGGAATCATCACATGATCCACTATCTGACAGTATCTTCCTCCCTGACCTAGGCCCGTCAGCCTTCCGCAATGATGACTCGTACCAAGAAAATGAGTTTGAAGGTCATTTGGAGTTGACGTCGCTTCAGCATCAGTTCAAACGTAGACGATCAACTTCGGTGGCAGATCGAAGTTCTTTTCTTTAAAAGAAATAGCTTCTGTTAAAACTCGAAGAGGCTGATGAGCTGCTGCAGGACCTCTCAACTGGCCCTCAAACATTTGACAGCCTATTCTTCATGCCAAAGCTAGCTGATGAGCAGGAGAACTTGATGAGCCCTATACCATTCCAGACTGAAATCTCTGTAGGAGTCCCTGCAAACTCAACAAGGATACTTGAGGATGAGGGGAGTGTCCATTGATGGTTCCTCGTAGCATTGGAGATTGTGCGCAAAACAGCCTGTTTGCCGTCCGTTCAAGAGGCTTAGCCAGGACCCAGCATTGAGAAAAAATGAGAGGAGACCGCATTGTGCAAAAACATGAGATTCTAACTACATTAGTAGAAAGCTGGCATCATAAACAGCAATCTTGAGTAGGTACATAAAGTCGATCTGGCAATAGTGCAAATAATTTCGGTCTTGACGATGCCAAGCTGTGTCCGCCAACAGACAGATGCTTTGCGGTCGCACTTCCGTCAGGATTCGCCTAGCGATCCATGGAAAGGACGCCCCCTATCTGACTTGGCCGGGAGCAAGCTCTCCGGTTGGAGGATGTGAGCACAGAACATTATTTGGATAGAACATGTACCAAAAATGCTGGATCGATAGAGGATTTCCGCCCGAATTGCTCCAAGCCACCCATGACCTGGTAAGCTAGAACTGACGTTTGCATTTAAGGCTATAGCCTGTGTCCACACAGGTTCCTCCTGGAAACGTTCGGGGCAAAATCCCGTAATATAAAGGTCCACCAATTGCAACCACGGCCTTCGGAGTTCTTCTCGGATGTATCTCAAGATGTTCCAGATATCGGTAGAGGGATCCATCAAGCTAGGACCTCGCCACTCGCGCATTGAGGAGGTATCCGACATAGCCGACTTCATGCAGTGCTGTCTTCATTATTAAAGATTCTCCCAGAGTGGAAACTTTGGGCTGCGTACTCTAGAAGTAGATGAGAACCTCCAACTTTCAAAAACCCAGTCGGGAATATAGGACCAAACATTGCCTAATGGTACCGTACTCGAACCATTCACGTGATGAATATCGGTTGATCTAGGGTTTTCCTTTGTGGGTGGCTTCGCAATAGCTGTTGGCATTAATGGCGGCTTTGGTATCGGAAGGTCTCTCCCTGGTGAGATGCTATTCTCTAACGGGTTGATTTGAACCTGGTGGTTTTCGATCCGTCTAACAACACACATGGTTCCACTTCTCGGTCGGAAAGCTTCTGGTTGATGTATCTGACTCGGCCGGTTTGGCAATAGAAAGGACGAGGGGAACGGAAGCTGAGAGAGTGGGCAGTCATTGATTGTATATTTATGTATTAGCGCCAAATTGAAGACCTAAGATGGACCGACCATTCGAGAGCGTTCTCTAAGCCTACACATGCTCAGACACCATTCCGATGTCTCTCAACAGACCTATCCACTGTGATGGTTTGAGACACCTACTAAGAGATGCGTTAGGGCGGGCATTTGGCTTTGACCCCTGACCGTAATGAACTATCACCTCAACACAACATTAGTGTCCAACATGTTACTTCTCGGTCCACTTCTTGCGGTGCTCCTGTGGTTGTGAGCTTTACTTGCATTGAAATCTATTCTCTACTCTAATCATCATCCGATCTTCCATCGATAACAACGCACCCATGATGTATTAGAGCCGGATTGGTTGGCGCGCGCAAGTCTTCACTCAATACTAAGTAATCAACATGGCCTTCCTGTCTCCCTCTCGAGCGTTACAAAGTCAACAGGCTCCGCAAGGGCTGAGACCAAAAGTGCAGACTTCAAGTTTTGCATACTCTGGTGTATGGCCCATCCTAGATGACGAAGAATGGACTGAGTCAAGGTGTTTTCCCACATTGCGGGACTGTTTGTCACGTCATCACGCCAGGCTTGGAATCCTCGAAGACCATCTCGGAGCTCGAGAAAAGGTTGACCGTCATGTTTCTCTAATGAACACAGCATCAACTCCAGCAACCTAGTATTACACGAATGTGCCGATTCTCCACCACGACATACTACTGTACGTATGAATTGATCGACATGGTAGGCTAGCTGTAGTAGAAAGCAGAAATCTTGCACTAAATGATATAAGTGATAGAACAATTCGATCTGGGCGGTACCTTCGGCGTATTGCTGGCGCCTTTGAGTATATCGAATCGTCTCCATCAAGTGTATACGTTCTTCCATTGAACCCAAAACTGTCGACTTGAAGGGATCAGCAACTGCTGATAATGCGCAAGCGTTCTTTGTACATACACATTTTGTGCTATATTGCGACGAATCTGACACAGCGATACCTCGTGAGAGCCGCCGCAGCAATAATTTAAGTTGCCAAAGCCAGACATCAGGAATCATTTTGTGTAAAGATTACGTTGCAGGCCTGAGGGGTTGAAGGATTTAAGCGATGCCTCTGGTGCTTGCTAAGTAGGAGGGCTATTTAATGAAAATTGGCCAACTATATTTACTATATTTATATACACCGCCATTTAAACGACCATGTCACGTTGCCAACTATTTTAAGAACATATCAGCTCTCGTAGTATTTTTAAATCGAAAATCAATGTCACACTCCTAATCCTAACCCTCACAAAATATGTCCTAAGATGCTAGTGCTTATGAATGTTATAGTAAGCTAAATTCTACCTACTTTTTGATAGTACTTCTCGTTTGCTGTACGCCCTTAGTATTATGAAAAGATTATAAGCTGAGGGCAATGCTGCATTGTCTTGCCAAAAGCATTCCATATTAAATGTAGATTTAAGCGGAATGATCTGGCGCTGCATTATACATAATGTAGTTCTATCGCAATCAAAGATACCCAACTCTGCTCACACCTCCATTAGGTTGATCTTTATCTCTTAGGGCTTTTAAAGTTGAAGTTGGGCTGCTCCAGCTCTGTGGGGGAGTTGCAAAAGGGAAAATCACAAGCCAAGATTTGCGAGCTCTCGTATATGACACTTATAAGACAATTTGACGAAGAAAGCGATATATTGAAAGGATTATCAGAAAATCTCCTGTCAATTTAGCTGATACACTGACAGCAATTGATTCACCTCTACGATCATGAGATGGACTTGGTTCTTTCGCCTGCAATTATGAAGGGTCTCCTATACTGCACCTGACCATGTCCCTGAAATCGGCCCTGCAGTTCATCGTCCATCGAATCAAGACCCCTCCAGGTGCATAATTGAAGAATTGGCTCATACAGAACCAAAGACCAAAGGCTGAATCATTGGTACCTACAATAGTCTAATCATCTCGCACGGACCTTCCCGTCAAAGTGAATAAGGTTCGAGTATACCTGATTTATGTTGCTCTAGCATCAAGTGGAACTCGGCAGGCACCTCAAGAGGCTCCATCCGAATATAAATTTCCGCAACCACCCGCAGAGTGGATGCATCATTTATTTCTGATCTTCGCAAACAAGAGACTCTCCATTGAAATGAATCACACTTCTTCCCGTCACCTCAGTGGTGAGTCCAAATCTTTCTGTCTAGCCAGCCCAGGGACTTAACAGTCCTAGACTATGCAAGGGTACACACAAATGACTCTGATGTTGTCATTTTGAGTCTGTACGGAATCTTTGCCTCCTACCACTGCTTAAACCGAGGCCGAACCTATCGTCCACCACATAGAGGTACGTGAGAGATATGCCGGTCAAGATATATACTGACGTACGATAGCCCTACCTGCACATATCGCTTCTGGGCTTGTTGAAGTCGCCCTATACTACGGGGGCTGGCAATGCTCTCTCGCGGCGGTCGCTGCCTGTTGGACACATTCCTTTACCTCTCTAATGCTGGTTCGTGAGCTCCCCCAACGGACATGCTTGGCATACACGTAAGTGTCCCCGACCTTCTGTAATTACGAAGTGATGCAAATGACCTGATTTCTTGTTATGATTCAATTTGCCCTCCAGGGCCAACATACCAAGCTGGATCATTTCTGCGAGTGGGGATGATGGCCCTGGCCTACGTCACCCAAGACCCTATGGACTATCATGACGCAGTCATGCCATTGCATGGCTTTGTCTACACCCGAGCCCTTCTCTTTCTATTTGGTGTCATGGGGCCCCACTCCACGCTCAAAAGCAATATCAATCTTCGCGAGGGATACAGTCTGGCTGTTTTCGGAGCTGCCCTGATTGCTGTCAGCCATTGTAGTAGCCCATGGGCGGTACCTCTATACCTGGCTATGGTGTCGTTGTTAGGAATTCTGAGCCGCTGTGCCTCGCAAGTGTACGTGCTTTAGCCACTTCTATAATCGAGTCCTGCTAATATCTGATGACAGACCGAGGAATGTACCAGTGAGGCGACCGATAGTAGTACTGATCAATACACTGGGTACAATCGGGATACACCACTCACAAGATGAGCGCAAAGCACCTCCCATCGGAAATCTGCGCGGTGACCGCTTAGGCGAGTTTCTCATGGATCTCATATCAACAAAAGTTTCATGGATCCTGAGCCGAGAATGCCACAGGTAATGGCAAGTTGTGGGCGGCTATGTCCGTCTCATGTATTCTCGGCTGCCGAAAATTTGAGAGCTGAATCATCCTACTGCTCTTCAGCGAGGTGGCATTATGCAGAGAAATTTGATGTAAATTAATGAGTGGGGGGGTTGACGATACTATAGCTATCCTTAGGTTACTATGGAGGCACCTAATGGCCAAACAATATCTCAGTTATTAGACTGATTTCAATTACTGATTCTCCATAGCCATCTTCAATTCTACAGAGCAAGGCAAACTTGCCCAATTTAAGTGCGCAATTGTGTACTGTACTAATTTACGAGATGTTCCTTGTATTGTCTTCGGTGGGCTCGATGAGAAGCTTTGTGACTGAGAATTGAAGATCTATCGTGTCTACCTTGGAAGATTACGCACTATCCAAGTAATTAGGAGGAATTGGCCTATGTTGGTATATATGGCATATGGAAAACAGACTCATATCTCGGAGAATGTATCGTTGTTCCCGTTATAATATTTTGGTATTCTCTTGGATAATGGTGATAAAAATCAAGAATTTAGCTTCCAGAGGACAATCATTTTGCTATCAGGAGCTACCGCGTTTGCCTTGCTGTGTACGGCTTGGTCGTCGAGGTGAGCTAAGGCTCCCCTCACCTCTGGCTTTGTAGGAGTTCCATCATACTCGATGACGATATATCACGAGCTAACGATAATGCCGAATCCCCATACATATTTTCCGATTGCACGTCGACAGCATGGAAGCTTGTTGTCAGCAGTAAACGAACCATAGCAGTATCTTGGTTCTGAACCGCCTCCATCATGGGAGACCACTTGTATCCATCAAGTCGCATAGGGTCGGCACCTTTGGCGAGAAGCATTCGAGCTAGAGTCATGTTCTTGTTCGCTACCGCCCACATAAGAGGATCCTGAACCTTGTCTTCAACATGTTGGGCGGAAGCCCCTCGAGCCAGTAGCAGGCGAGTCATTTCTACATCGTCCTGCGACGTAGCCCAGGCAAGAGGTGTCCATCCAAAGTGGTCGACGGTCTCCAACTCAGCACCACGGTGCAGCAGCATCTGCACCATTTCTACGTTACCCATCCTTACAGCCCAGGCGAGAGGGGTTCGGCCACACCGATCCACTATCGCGGGATTTGCACCGTGACAAAGGAGTTTTTCAGTGATTTTCACGTTACCCCTCAAGGTTGCCCACGTCAGAGGACCGCGCCTGAGCCTGTCGGTCTGGTTGGGATCAGCACCTCGAGTAAGTAACAGCTGAACAAACGCCTCATAATTACGCTTGATTGCCCAATATAACAGGGAATCTTGAGAGGCATCCCGGGTATTCGGACTCTCTCCTCTGCAGAGCAACAGCTCAGAGAGTGATAAGCTACGATTCTTGGCAGTAGCCCATAATGCTGACAGACCTCCGTGAATTGTGCGGTCGGCGTTCATGTCTAGAAGAGCAACTACGGCAGAATAATTATCGTTCTGGATGGCCCAATAGAATGCCGTTTGGCCGATTCCATTTTGTGCATTCACGTTTGCGCCAGCGTGGAGCAGTGCAGACAGCACCTGGTAGTGGTTGTGTTGGGCAGCCAAGATCAATGGCGTATTACCAGAAAGTCCTCGGGCGTTGAGAAGTGTTTTGACCCGAGGATTGGTGAGCAATAAGCAAAGAATATCACTATAGCCTCTTTCCGCTATCAAGTGGAAGACTGTATTTTTATGTGCGTCGGAAACAGTGAAATCGATAGAATTGTGGGCCTTCACAAAATCAATAGCAGCGCATTCCCCGTCATGTTCGAGGCTGCGAAAGAACCGATACCCGAGAACCCTCGGTGCCACCAGACCAGATAAGTACAAGCAAGATTTGCTTAGATTCAGGGAAGCCGTTCGATCTAGATCTTCGGCAACAAGCAGCCATATTTCCGGCGGGAAAATTTCCATTGTGGCAATCTATTAGAGGAAGACGTCGATCGGCGCAATTTTCCCTTAAGTAAGCTAGCTACACGCAGAAAACCCAAATTTGGCACAGTATCCCAAACCTTCTTAGAGTGGCCATTGCATGCTTATGGATCATGGTTTTTGTTCTAGGTAGTTCTTGGTCCTTCACGGCGGCTGAGGGAGGGCGCGCCTATGTCCGGTGTTTCCATTGGAAATAGATAGATCAGGTTAATAAAACACATGTCAGATGACTTGAAGGAATTGAATGGTGAGGGTAGAGGATAGTTACCAGTCGTTAAGGGGAGTACCTCAGGAGTATTTCCAAAAGTACCCGCGGGAAAATAATAGTCCCGAATGTCTCGAGACTTTCGTATACTATTGGTACATTTTATTATTGATTTGATTACTATGTGGTTACTTCATTCCGAAATGGAGTAGAATAGAGCATAAGGTGCCTATAGGGCATGAGTGACACATTCATTTTCCCGGGGGTATCGAGGGGTCAAGTTTCGCCGTCGTCGCAGCCCGCCTTAATAGACTCATTGTGATAACAATTTTGACCATTGTAAGAGCAAATGGCAAGATGAAAGTCTGGGGAGATCCAAGTTCCCCCGACACGGATGGTACTAAAGTTAGACGTTATTTTTAGCGTCCTCTAAGCTCGAAAACTGACGACTGACGTCGTTCGTCAATGGAAACGTCACGGTATGTTAACGTGGGGTCAACCATCGGGCCGATTGGAGGCCAAATAAGCGTGTCAGCGGTTGATACATTTACGCGTATAGGTGACCTATCAATTGTACTTCATATCGTACGTATAATAAAATCTCTCGACACGTGATAAAGATTTTGTGCTAAATCTGGAAGATTTGTAGATCACAAAAACTTACGGAAATTGAGGTGACCAAAACAGATCGAGAAGCCAACTTTCAAGGTCTGTCAATCAATATATTGTATATTTCCGAAGAGTTATACACTTTCGATACCAGCGAAAATTGGTCTAAACCGAGTATCATGGATGATGGGCTGATTCCACTCATTCCTATAGCTCTAAACCAAAGAATTATGACCGGATAACTTGGCAGCAAATTCCATATCCCTGGTATTGGAAGCAGGGGCAGTCGAAAATTAGGAATTGATAAATGCGTTCTTTGGAATAAAAGTTGATGCCTCCCGGGATCCCTGGCCGCCTCCAGTCAGGCTGAGGGATGTATTTCGCTAATTATCTTCGGACCAGACCGGTCGTGAGTCAAGCTTGTCCGATAATGTTTTGTGTGACAGTCTGTATTGCACTAAGACAAACTGTCCTTTAAAACCGGAATAGGCTGCATGCTTCGGATACAAAGTTTGGCTGCCAGAGGCTTAATGGCCTGAGAGTAGCAAAAAGTGCAAGATGGAAGGAAGGTTCATCACGGCTTCGTGCTTCTCTGATACATCTGCGAGGCTATCCAGTATCGGACCTCCCATCCAATCGAATGGTTCAAGGTCTACGCCCCGGTGGTCATTTGTTTTGCAGGTCGACGTTCTAACCCCATGTGCAGAACAGGACACTCGCTCCAGCTTAATGCCAGGACATGGTACCAATATGGGAGCCCATGCGGACGCCGTTAGAGGCGCTTTAGATCCGTCGACTGCAGCTCAAAGCTCGTCTTGAAGCACAAATCTCTACTGGAGGGCATGCTCCGACGTCAGATTCTAACTGCGGATGAACTTCAGCGGAGATTTTAGCGTCAGGAAACGCGCAAACTCCGGGCAGAGTATCTTTTTGAACTAGAAGGTATAGATAAGCATTCCCTATATTCCATTACAAGATGGGAATGCGTTCATGCTGGATTAATGACAGGTTAGAGAGCAGATGAAGGAACGGGATGAGGACATCATGGGTTGCGGAATGAATACAATATATGACGTCCTCTCAGAAGAGGTGATTGGTTGAGATGAGATAGTTCTTGCAGAGATCCTTTCAGAGGACAAAGCCTAGCACTATCTAATGGACAGGGTCGGAACAGGACGGGCCCTAACGGAAGACTGTTCGTAGCCGCATGTAAAGGTTACATGACTCAGATGCTTTACGCCCCTGATCTCCGTACTACACAATCATACATCGATTGTTGAGTTAATCTGATGCAAGACAAAGACTTGAGGGTAGAGGCAGGTTCGTGATCCGTCTTTTGTAGTCAATCATAGTAAGCCTGTCTTTGATAAATTGGAGTACACGGGCCAAATTGTGCATCCGTCAAACCGACAACGTCGCTAAATACGCACGTGGTCCTCATACGCCTTCATCGTGGGAAGACTGTTGCCGGTAAGGATCTGCTCCGTGCTGCAATAATCCCATTCTATCGTCACCGAGAAGAAGCTGATGAGGTGGCCCATTCTGTGGCGTATAAAACATTATAAGCCAGCTCTCTCCGCCCGGAATTTAAATTTTCGCGGCACCCATTCAGCAAGCTGTGAGTTTTACGTTCATGAGGATTAAACCGCTTCCATCGGAGAAACCAAGACCAACTATGTTTTCCAATATTGAAAGTACTCTCTTTGCGACTGGTGTGCCATCAATCGACATGAATCGGATTCGCAACATAGTGCATACCGCCAGCCGCCTGTCTCCCATAGGCAGGATTGCCGCCAGAAGCGAATCGTCTGAAACTCGCACGCAGTATTTTGAGCAACGAGAATCGCCTTCCGTTTTAGCCATAGGTGGGGAACACAAGCCCGGGCTGGAGAATGTTCAAGGCGTCAGGAGGCCCAAGTCAAAGGGCAATCAATCTGATTTCATCTCGACATGTCCCACCAACCAAAACCCGGGACAGGATATGCTGCGCCCTTCGATGGTGCGGGTGGGAGGGCCACTGAAGTCAGCGAAGTCCAAACCTGGGGGCTACGGCCAATTTGGTGGGCGATTCGTACCAGAACCTCTGATGGGATTTCTTCACGAGCTCGAACTCGCAATTGAAGCC